TGGCCTTAATGATAAGTTTGGTACTTCAACTTCTCCCTAATATTTGGGCTTTCCTTATTCACCAATGCAGATTGTCCACCAGCAAGGAGCTTCGAAAAAAGTTCGCGATGCATCACTGGAAAAAGTGGGCTCTTTGTCTTCTTAATCGCCACGAGCTTTTTTTGTCAGTAAGCCAAAAAGACAAGAGAAAATGAATGAAACGAAAAAAATTTCAGGATGAAATACATTATTCACCAACGAACGTTAAAAGCCCATTTCTACCCTGATTTTATTCATAACACTTTCGGTTACGGCAAGGACGAAAAGAAATATATCGAAATTCTTCATGAATTTACAAGCAAAGTTCGCCCGTTAACTATTTTAAAACCCTTGATGTTTTCAGGGAGATTTTTAGGAATTGAAAAGCAGCAAAATTTATCAGAAGAAAAAAGTAAGAATAGTTATTCTAAATCTTAGAAGAGTTCGCAAAATTGAGACTTTGCATGGAATTTCAAAAAATTTGCAGGCAATAATGAATCGAAAAAAACTTGCGGATGAAGCGGGCGGTGTAGACAAGCTTTTGCAAAAAGAAACTGCATCAGGTAAAATCAGTCGTTTTCTCAACATACCAAATATAATGGCGCACATTCAGTAACCATTATGCACTGTGCGTCTTTTGCCCCGCGCAATATTACAACAGATCAGCTTCTCACTAGAAACGAAGCTTTTACTGTATCTATTTTTAGGCAAACGGCGAATGGCATTTTTGGATTTGATGCTGGATATGCATGCGAAAGGTGATTTACCACTGCAAGGCATACAAGAAGAAGTGGATACATTCACTTTTGAGGTTTTTGCTCCGAGAAATTTTCTACTGACGCCTAACTTTTGATGTCCAAACCGAAACTGATTTATGAACAAATGTCAAACTCCCTCATGCACTCCAGGCTCACGACACAACTTCAGCAAGCATGAATTGGTTTTTGCACCTGATGGGTACCAATCCAGATATTCAAGAAAAGGTTCAAAGAGAAGTTGATGAAGTTTATGGCGAAGGTACACTACAACAAATTTTCAAAAACAGAACTGGTCAGGTGAAAGCAGGATATAGCCAAAAAAGAAAAATCCGAAATTTCTGGGCTGATTTTTTGTTTACGATGAAACAAGTAATCTTGTGACCAATTTTTTTTTTAATTTGACACAACCCAGTAGCGGACAAGTAAGTAATTGCAGCGGACAGGCCAATAACATATGAGGATCTTGGACGACTGAAGTTCCTGGAAGCCTGTATCAAGGAAACACTACGGATGTACCCGAGTGTGCCAATTCAGGCACGGCTTTTGACCGAAGACACTAAAATTGGTAAGTCTTGGTGTTCGGTAGATTGAAAGACTTAAACAAGTACTTCTCCGTTCTCAGCTGTAGCGCGCTTTTTGTTGCAAGGCCAGAGCTGTAGGTTTGTATTATACGGGAAATAGCGATTTGAGTCAAGACTAAATGTATGCAGCGGCGAGCACGAATGCGTATCCAAAGTTCTGAAACGACGGCACTATCCAAATTTGGCGTTCCCATGCAAATAATACTTCTTTGATTCTGCCCATGTCCCATTTATACAGTTCTACGAGTTTTTCGTCCAAGTGTAGTATTTCTGTACTTGATTTCCGTCCCATATTGAATTTATCATCATTCGTGCTCAGCAACTCCCGCTGAACAGTTTTGTCCCAATTTTTTCGTTTCTATTGGCTCTTTAGTCTTTTCTCGTTTTGTGGGAATTTTACTGCAACAGATACTTCCTAACTTCTCATGCGTTTTTGCTTGCTGTGCAGTGCTACAGCTTTGCTAAACGCATATTGTTGAGAATCTTGCGGTGTGTGTGTTTGTGTGTGTGTGT